TCACCCCAAAGAAGTTTCTCCTCCTGCTCAGGTGGCACCTCCTGGGTCCCAGTTGGTGCCCGTTGCCCCTTGTCCTGTCCCTGGGCACCACTGACCAGAGTCTGGCCCCAGCCTCTTGCCCCCCGGGGGCCCTTTAGCTCTTGCTCAGCACTGCTCAGATCCCCTCTGAGGCTTCTCTTCTCCAGCTCAGCAGCCCCAGGGCTCTCAGCCTGGCCTGGCACAGAGATGCTCCAGCCCCTCAGCATCTCCACAGCCTCTGCTGGACTCTCTCCAGTAGCTCCCTCCTTTCTCCACTCCTGTTCCTTTGCATTATCAGATGTATGCTCAAAAAGGGGCAAAAAAGGCACCAATTAGGGGTAGCAGTGCTGGCCCAGGACCCAGCAATACCCATTAACCAGGAGTCTGCTACGCTGCAATTAGTTTTAAGTGGTCGTTAGCATTTTCATTAGCTCTGGGATGCTTTTGAAATCCTGAATTTACGCCACAGGAACTGCAGAAGGTGGCAGATGATGATGAAGATGCACTTGCACTCTTCTGGAGTGCTCTGAGTCCCTCACAGCTACAGCCCAGGCACAGAAAACAACATCCCACATTACTCCAAGCTCTTCGTTCCCTTCCTCATGTCCCTGCTTTGCTCTGGGAAGAGGAATTAGAAAATAGGAATATTCTGGCTGCTTGTTTTTAAAACACACACACGTGTGGGTGGAGGCTCCAGCTCCTGCTCCCACCTTCCTCCTGCATGTCACAGAAGACCCTCTTCGTGATTCTCCTCCCCTGTGTTTTCTCTCAGCGTGGTTTTTGTAGGCCAGGCTCAGGAAGGAAGATGCCTCCAGCCAGCCAACAATTATTGCATGGAAATAATGAGTTTTATTCATTGAGAAACGTTTGGATTTCTGCAGGAAACCTTGGAACAGGTGCCCTAATAGTTCTTCCTCCAGCAAAGAAGGAGAAGGTCTGCAGTGCAGTCTTGAGTGGCCACTAAAACCCTCCTGGTTTGACACCTACTAGTCTGGATGTGGTTTAAGTCCTTGGGAATGAACCTCAGTGCTGCTTCTGAAAATTACTTAAGGGCTCTACACGAACAGAAAGCAAGGAACTGATGTTTAAAAGCCAGATTTGACCCAAAATTAAAGCCAGTTGGATGCTGGAGGGCAGATCTAAGGAAAACCTATGTTAATGCTCCACTCGGTCCATGTTGCTTCCAACCTAGAGCAGCTGCTTGGTGGAGAAACTGCAAGACAGGGTTGAATCCATGTTGAAAGTCCATAGCTAGCTGGGCAAAGGCAGGAACTGCCAGTCCTCCTGAAGTCCTGAGGCAGAGACCAGCAGGAGAAGTTCTTCACTGTGTAGGGTGGTGAGACCCTGGCCCAGGTTGCCCAGGGAAGCTGTGGATGCTCCATCCCTGGAGGTGTTCATGACCAGGCTGGATGGGGCTTGGAGCAACCTGCTCTAGTGGGAGGTGTCCCTGCCCATGGCAGGGGGGTGGAACCAGATGATCTTGCTGGTCCCTTCCAACCTAAACCATTCTGTGATCTATAAAACACAGTGAGTGACTTTGCCTGGAAGGTCTCAGTTTCCATCCCTCCACCCAGGTGACCAACAGGTCTCGTGAGTCTGCCAGGATGTCACAGAGACAATTTTTTTCAGTCCCTTCTGTTCACCTCATGATCCCAGAATGATGTTGTGGAGGCCTTCATGCCAACTCAACAAGTTGTCTCAGCACCCTCCATGACTTTGTCTCCCCACGCCTGAACTCGTGAAGAACATCTCAGAAAAACATCGAGTTCTGGGAATGAAGGAAATTTGACTGAATAAGAGAAAAAAAAGAGAGGAAAACCAACCACCATGAGTTCTCCTTCTGCTCACAGATACCAACAGTGTGTCCAGACACGTCTCCAAGCTGAGCTGTTTCCAAGCCCACGTTGGCACAGCCTCATGCTGTGGGCAAACACCAGCTGAGGAGGAACCTGCAGCTCAACACCAGAGCTCCACCAGACCCCAGACCTGCTGGTTTACTGCAGACAAAGCATTTCACCTGCAGGTCTTTTATCAGAATTTCTTCTGATTTGGTTTTTAAAAACAGATCTGTTCACTATTTTAATCAACTTGCTCCAAAAAGCCCAAAGCATTTGCTCCCAACAAACTCCTTAGATGACTAAACACTTTAATCCTTGAAGAAAAATCATTATTCCTTGAATACTCCTACATGAGAAATAAAACTTAAGCACGTGTGTGATAAATGCCTCAAACTCTCTCTGTGAGAGCCACGATGCTCCTTCAAGTGTGGTCCTACCAAAAACTCACCCACCAGTCCCTAACACTGGTGAGAGCCATGGGCTGCTGAGCTCCCTGGAGAGCGAGAGGATTTTGGCCTTGTAATTGAGATTTGTATGGAACTTTTGATAGCCAACATCTGGACAGGTAGCACAGAATCATAAAATGGGTTGGGTGGGAAGGGACCTTTCAAGGGCATCTGGTCCAACCCTCTGCAGGGAGCAGGGACATCTGCAGCTAGAGCAGGGTGCTCAGAGCCCCGGCCAACCTCCCCTGGGATGGTGCCAGGGATGGGGCAGCGACCACCTCTCTGGGCAGCCTGGGACAGGGGCTCAGCACCCTCAGCATCAAATATTTCTCCCTTCTACCTAGTCTCAATCTCCCTCTTTTAGTTTCAATCCATCCCCCCCTTGTCCTGTCCCAACAGTTCCTGCTCAGACGTCCCCACCCAGCTTCC